CTTTGTAGACCCTTTTTTTTTTTTTTTTTTTTTTTTTTTAATGGATGGGTGCTTTTTATTTCACATCTTTTGGACTGAAGCAATGCAACACCCGCTGACTGGCATTAAACAGCTTGAAAGATCAAAGACAATTTTTGATATAACTCTGACTGGATTCGTCTGAAAGAAGAAAGTCATATACATCTAGGATGCATTGAGGGTGGGTAATTTATGGGCTAATTTTCATTTTTGGGAGAACTAACCCTTTAAGATGCATTTGTGTCGATCCAAACACAAGTCAGTGTTTCCCACAGACTTGCACTCTATTTGTGGCAGCACTTCCCCAGGGGAAATATAGGCTATAAAGCAGCAGATGGGTTGATTGATTGAAAATGCAAATTAATTCTCTGCCAGCAGGAGGCGCTTTAAGAATGGCAGAAATAGCGGTTTCCCCCGGTAACGGCTGCTCCACTCATAAAGGCTGCTTTATCAGGCATTATAGGAAAAATGAAATTAAATGAAAAGATATTATCTGTAATAAATAAATAATAAAATATAAAAAATTACACGTATAATAATTTTTCATTTTATTTAGTATTAGCATTGGTTGGGACTGCAACAGTGGGTCTTGATTACATGACCTTCAAACAAAAAGAGGTTTTCAGCAATCCTAAATTTATTGTTTTCATCTGTCTTTCCAGACATTTGAGTTGCTATTTTAAGGAGGTGTTTAGGATGCTGGTACATAAGAAGTGGTGGGTGGGAATGGTAACAAAGGGCCTAGCTAAGCTTTGGTAGAGCTGGTTGTTATGGTTACATTTTTGCATGCGTTTTGGCTGGTGAAATGCACCATGCATTCTTACAGGAGCCTTATTTAAATGCATGCTACATTCTCATCTGCTTTTGCAGCCGTTTTCCCACCCCTTTTTGGCTTTGAATCCTTCAGGCTCAAAACAAGCCATAGAACTGTTGGACCATCCACAGACAGACAAGTTTTCGGTTTACTTTGGCAGCAGTCTTATTTTATGAGGCTTCTTGAAGTTGACCTCTTCTCTATTTGTTAGTTGCATTGACACCTCTTGAGCAAATGCTTATGTCTTTCTTGCCTGTGTGATGACTGGTTTCCTGTCTGTGGCATCTCTTTTTGCCTCTTCCTCAGCTACGAGCAGAGGTGAGCGGGCTGCAGGTTGAGCTAGAGGGCAAGCGGGCAGAGATGGACACGCTGGAGACACTCCTGCAACGCAGAGACCGGGAGAACCAGGAGGGAGACAATCTACTGGCCATGCTCAGAGCTGACCTCAACACGGCCTCACAGCAAAGGTCAGCTGACCTACAGAAAGAGCGATTTCAGGGAACTGACAGTCTGCATACTGTTTTAGAGAACAACCTTATTTTCATACTTTGAGTTGATCATTAAAACTTTTATTTTGTCCCTGTCAGACAAGACCTGCAAACAGCACGTGACAGACTACAGCGGATGCTCATAGAGATGCTTCGAATCACTATGGCAACGGAAGAGAACATCAACCACAAGTTAGGGGCTTGTGTGTCAGGTGGTCAGGCTGGAGACAAAACGCCCAGCTCTATGACAGCCAGCAGTAGCCGTGATTCACGTGAAATGGGTATGTTTCTGTTAGTCTGCTAAATTATATCTATATTGATCAACCACTATTAAAAACAGTGTCCAATCATTTGATATATATAGAATGTATCTAAATATTTAAAGGGATAGTTCACCCAAAAATGAAAGTTGTCGTCATTTACTCACCCTCCACTTGTTCCAAACCTGTATGAGTTTCTTTCTTCTGTTGAACACAAAAGAAGATATTTTGAAGAATGTTGGTAACCAAACAGTTGCTGGTAGCCATTGATTTCTAGAGTATTTTTTTTCCTCCATACTATAGAAGTCAGTGACTAAAGAAACTCCTATTGATTTGGAACAACTTGAAAGTGAATAAATGATGACAGAATTGTATTTTTTTGGGTGGACTATCCCTTTAATGATAGCAAATGTGACAGTTGCTAAATCCTTTATTTTGCCCTATTTTTTTCTTTCTTAATATTTTAGAACTAATATTAAAAAATCTTTGGCCAATTATCTCAAAGTTCCGGCTGTTGGTTAATATGTTTGGTTGACTTTCAAATGGATTTTCATAATTAATTTATCGTTCCTTTTTTTTTTTTTCTTCCTTTTCAGGAGAGGTGATTGGTGTAGAAGGAGATGCTGATTGTAGCGTGTGGTCTTCGGCTGTGGACGAGGGGTTGGAATTGTCTCAGAGGCTGTGTGAGAGTGTGTTCTCTGGGCCGGAGGGAGAGATGGAGGCGGAAGGCGAGGAGCTCATGCTGGGTGCCTGTACACGTCTACGCACTGCTGTAGATAAACTATTGGAGCTGCTCTCTGAGTCCTCACAGCAGGTACCACGCTTATATACACACACACACACACCCGACCCTCCCACTACTGTCCGTTGTTTAGATTAGGCAATATCGATGAGCCACAAGTACTTGTGATGGGTCACTAACTCTTCCTCCCTAGCATTGCAGTGTTACATTTATGTACATGTTTGTTCACGAAATGCTTTGTGGTATCAAAGTGACATCCTTTCCACGTGCTTTAATTAAATTATTATTCTTTTTTTTTTTTAAGTTTATAAATTAGTATTTACTTCATACTTCAGTAAACTGCTGTTCAAAAGTTAAGAGTTGGTAGGTCGCTGCTTTTTTTTTTTTTCTCAAGGCTGGATTTATTTAAAATACAGTTAAAAACATTCATTGTGAAATGTTATTACAATTACAATTACAGCTTTCTATTTTAAAATTTATAGATTTATTCATGTGATGGCAAAACTGACTCCAGTCTTCAGTGTTACATCATCTAATTCTAATATGCTGATTTGTTGCTCAAGAAACATTTCTTCTTATAATAGATGAAAACAGTTGTTCTGCTTAATGTTTGTGAATTTTGTGTTAGACTTTTTTTCTTTTTTATTAATGTAGGTTTGTTATTCACTTTGTAATTTTAGTGCTTATTGTTATTTCTAATTTTTCACCTTGTGTGACTTTTTTTTTTTCCCGTGTAGGAACTGTTTCACCCTATATTCCTCTTAATTCATGTCTGTTTTTTTCTCCCTTCCCGTCGTTTTCTACTGTAGTTGGAGCAGATGTGTGGTCTACAGGCTGTGCTAAATGAG